ACTCCATTACCAGCACTGTTACCTCAATTTCCTCAAATACAGCGGTTACATCAAAATACCTTAAAAACCTCAAAATAACAGCACTGTTATCTTAAAATTACCTCAAAATAACTTTAAAAACCTCAAAATAACAGCACCGTTACCTCAATTTCCTCAAAGTAATAGCACTGTTACCTTAAAATAACTTTAAAAACCTCAAAATAAATCCAATAACAGCACTTTACCTCAATTTTTTCAAAATAACAGCACTATTACCTTAAAATTACCTCAAGATAACTTTAAAAACCTCAACATAACTCAAATAACAGCACTGTTACCTCAAAATAACTTCAAAACTTCTTTAATTAAACTAAAATTAAACCTCCGTTACCTCAAAACTACCTCAGAATAACTCAATTAACAGCACCATTACCTCAATTTCCTCAAAATTACAGCAGTTACCTCAAAATACCTTAAAGACCACAAAATAACAGCACTGTTACCTCAATTTCCCCCAAAAAACAGCACTATTACCTTAAAATGACCTCAGAATAACTTACAAATTAAAGCACTGTTACCTTAAATGAGCTCAGAGTAACTCGAGTAACAGCACTGTTACCTAAATTTCCCCAAAGTAACTTTAAAAACCCTCAAAATAACTCAAATAACACACATCATTTTGATTTCCTCAAAATAACAGCACTGTTCTCTGAAAATAATTCAGGACATGGTTTCTCCAGAATAACTTATAAAATAAGAGCACTGTTACCTGACAATAACTAAAAAATAACAGCACTTAATAACTACCGGATAACTTTAAAATAAGTGCAGTGTTGCCTCAAAATTACTCAAAAAGAAGAGCAGTTACTTACACATAACCTGAAAATGAGAGCACCATTACCTCAGAATAAGAGCTCATTTACTAAGTGCTCTAAACGCATATTGGTTTAGAAGCGACTCTGTTGAAATGGATCGGTGCATGTTTGCTCTGAAATAGTTTTGTAATAATAATTGTGTGTTTTTGTTTTGTTTTCCTGAAGTTGTGGGAGACCGTGTGGAGGTTGCGTTGCCAGGTCCTGCACTGATCCGATGGGAGTTTTCTCCTGCTGTGTGGGAGTTACTGTGGGATCTGCGCGCTTCAATACAGGCCATGATCTACCGCAAACTCCGTCAGTCAGAATGTAAATCCAGCTCAGAGCAGAGGAAGGACAGTGAGCTGATAGATTTATTAGTGGATCTCCTCAATAACACTGATCCTGACGTGAGCAGAGATCAGGAGGATGCACTGAACTCTAGCAATACTGAAAACGCTGAAGCTGACAGCTGCTAATGCGTGAGTGTGTGTGTGTGTGTGTTACTGTAAATTAACAGAGTAATGTGTTTTTACATTCCAGCAAAACACTTCTGAAGATGCTCTTGGTTAAAACTGCACTAGTGTGGCTCAAATCAGCTGTAAAGGGAGATCTCACACCAGACAAGTACATTCTGTCATCATTTACTCTCTGCTTCTTTCAAAACCTTTACGAGCTTCTTTCCTCTGGTCACCGGATTCTATCAGATCTTCTGTAGTGTTCAACAAACAGACATCCATTGTTTTCTCCTACTATGTAAGTCAATGGTTACCGGTTTTCAGCATTCTTCAGAACATCTTCTTTTGTGTTCAACATAGATATTTTGATTACTATGAAGATGGTAGGAAAAAAACTATGTAAGTCAATGGTTACCAGTTTCAGCTTACTTCAAAATATCTTTTGTGTTTAACAGATAGATATATTTTGATGACTGTGAAGATATATGGAAGAAAGCTGAAAACCGGTAACCACTGACTTCCATTGTTTTGTTTTTTTGTTCTATGAAAGTCAATGGTTACCAGATTTCAACATTCTTTAAAATATCTTCTTTTGTGTTCAGCAAACAGATATTTTGATGACTTTGAAGATATTTTGAAGAAAGCTGAAAACCGGTAACCATTGACTTCCATTGTTTTGTTTTTTCGTTCTATGAAAGCCAATGGTTACCAGTTTTCAACATAATTCAAAATACCTTCTTTTGTGTTAAACAGATAGATATTATGAAGATATTTTGAAGAAAGGTGAAAACCGGTAACTATTGACTTGCATAGTTGAAAAAAAGCAATGGAAGTCAATGGTTACTGGTTTTTAACATTCTTCAAAATATCTTCTTTTGTGTTGAACAGACAGGCATTTTGATGGTTATGAAGATATTTTGAAGAATGCTAAAAACTGGTTACCATTGACTTCAATACTAGGAAGAAACAATGGGGGTCAATGGTTACCCGTTTATAGTTTTCTTCAAAATCATCAATATATCTATGTTAAACATGGAAGATATTTTGAATGATGTTGAAAACCGGCAACCATTGACTTTCATAGTAGGAGAAAACAATGGAAGTCAATGGTTACCGGTTTTCAGCATTCTTCAAAATATCTTCTTTTGTGTTCAACACAATAAATCAACTCATACAGGTTTGGAAAACAGTAAATTGAGTATATTTAGATGTTTGGGTGAACGGTCCCTTTGAGAATGTACTTGAGCATGTTGGAGAACACAATGACATAAATAAAAACTATTTATTTATTAGGTTAAAACAGTGCAGCAGTGCTTTATTCTCATTAAATACTTAATATCAATGTTCAGCTCAGTTTCTTTTATTTTGGTCAGCTGAACCGTCACCATGAGTTGTTAAAATAATATAAATAACAAAATATAAAAAAAATAAATAAATAAAAATAGCAAAATAAACATAATAAAGATTAAAAATAGCCCAGTAAAGCGCCAAACTATCAACTATTAGGTTATTTGGTACTAGTAAAGATTTAGAAGGACTAGAGTCAGTTGGTGTTTCTGTGTGGAGTTTGCATGTTCTCCCCGTGTTGGCGTGGGTTTCCTCCGGGTGCTCCGGTTTCCCCCACAGTCCAAACACATGCGCTATAGGGGAATTGTCCATGGTGTATGAGTGTGGATGAATGTGTTTTGATGTTTCCCAGAGATGGGTTGCAGCTGGAAGGGCATCCGCTGTGTAAAAACGTGCTTGATAAGTTGGCGGTTCATTCCATTAGATGCCATAGATGAAGCGCGACGGGAGTCTTCATAGACTGACAGAAGCATGACGCACACACTGAAGTGCACCTGACTCAGCTCCGCCCTCTTCTGACAAGAGCACAATCTCATTTGCATTTAAAGCGACAGTGACCAAACACCACAATTAGGATCAAAGTCTGAAAGGGTCAGTTTCAGCGAGCTGGAGAACACTATCTGTGTGTATTCTCAGCTCAAACACACACACACACACACTCCACAGTTTATGTAAGGGGCACACTTTAAGTAATGGAGTTAAATGTAATAACAGATTAGCGGTGGTCAGAAACGTCCCCCTCCTGGAGGAAGTGCTCATGTAAGTGTGTGAGGCGGGACGGCGGGACAGTTCTGTTTCCTCCTGTGCAGCTGCAGGTTTTTGTCGGTGGTAAAACAGCTCCCGCAGGCGGCGCAGGGATACGGCGTCTCCCCGGTGTGTGAACGCTCGTGTTTCCTCAGCGGTCCCGAATGAGCGAACCCCTGTCCGCAGTGTGAGCACTTGTAGGGTTTCTCTCCGGTGTGAACTCTGCGGTGCTGCTTCAGCTCTCCGACTCGCATGAACGCCTTCCCGCAGTCAGGACACACGTGACTCTTCACCCCGCTGTGGATCTTCAGGTGCTGCTGAAAGTAGGACTTCCAGGAGAAGCTCTTCCCGCAGACGGTGCACAGGTACGGCCTCTCCTCGGCATGCATCATCAGGTGTCTCTTCAGCTGCGAGCGCTGCAGAAACCTCTTGGCGCAGTGTCCGCAGCTGAGCTTGCGCTCTCCGTGCGAGCGCAGGTGTGTGTTCAGGTGGATCTCCTGCTTGAAGGTCTTGCTGCACTGAGGGCACTGATGCACCTGCTCCTCCTGATGGAAGGTTTTGTGCTGCTTGAAGTTGCTTTGGTGAGAGAAGCTCAGTCCGCACTGTGCGCATGTGAACGGCCGCTCTCCGGTGTGCACGCGCATGTGGGATTTGAGGTTGTTTTTGGTGGAGAAGCTCTTCCCGCAGTGTGTGCAGTGGTGTGTGTGCGCGCCCGTGTGGATGTTCCAGTGGCTCTTCAGATTGCCGTTGGTCGTGAATCTCCTCCCGCAGTGCCCGCACTGGAACGGCTTCACCGTCATGTGCACCGCCGAGTGGATCTGCAGGTTGCTCTTCTGTCGGAAGGCTTTACCGCAGACGCTGCAGGAGAACGGCTTCTCTCCGGTGTGGATCATCATGTGCTCTTTGAGGTGGCATCTGTACAGGAAACTCCGTCCACAGTCAGGACACGAGAAGGGCTGTTTTCCTCTCATTATGTGACCTCCCGAGTTCTGATCTTGTGTTTATTCTGGCTTGTTTGAGTCCAGGATTAAGAGTGTTCAATGAGGATCAGATCTGCTAAAATATCAAAACAAGAGCAAAACTGGTTATCAATACACACTGAAAAACATCTATGTGTATATATAATATGTCAAAAACAATAACACTGATCAT